TTATTCCACCTCATAGGTCCGACGCCTCATAAGTCCGACGCCTCATAAGTCCGACGTTGGAAAAACATGGCGTTTAATTTGTCGGACCTACGAGGCGCCGGAGCTATGAGGCGTCGGACCTATGAGGCGTCGGAGCTATGAGGCGGCGGACTTATGGGCCTTTATTAAGTTAGGGGATGCGATTTTGTTGAACTTATGAGGCGTCGGACCTATGAGGCATTGGACTTATGAGCGGACCCCGTATAAATATCCAAAGAGGTTTCTTTGTTGTCAATGACCACCGTTTTCATTTATACCATCGTGCATCAGCATGAAGGATTATGGGGGCTTTGACACAGTGCAATGTATTCAAGAAAAGCAAAGGGTGCCAGAAATTGCCACCATTTTTACAAAGGGACAATCATTTCAAAAATGAACCCCCCCCCTAAAAAAATAGCCAGCCAAACTCTTTGGCTCTAAACGTTGAAGCAGGCATAGAACAAGTACTGTTTCAAAGATCATGAAAAATGATGTTAAATATTTTCCGTTTTGTCAGAGATTGATTTTATAATGATCATAAGTGATAATCATGTTGGCCTGGATATCTTAAAATATAAGTTTCATATATATGTGTTGTTTTGTTTTCTATGAGAGACAATTTATTGTTGGTTTTTGTTTTCGTAGTGAAAAAGAAAAGTAAGTAATCATATTGTTGTTGCCCTTTCAAGAGATTGATTTTTTTGGGCATTTGTCAAATAAAAAACAGTCGTGAATAATGGAAAAACAACCAGTTGACTTGATACTTATTTTGTTGCCATTGTATTTTCAGTTTAAGAATGTTACGAATGCTACTGTTAGATTTTCAGTGATGTGGTAGTCGGTGGATAGTCCAGGTATCACCTGTTGTCCAAGGGCGCCCTCTCGGTCTCCGGTCCAATGTCAGATATATCTTAGCATGCAAAGTTATGCGACCCCGCACGCCATCCAGTCAGAGTCAATTTTACAAAATTGTGATGTCATTTCATTCAGAAATTCAGAAATATTGAGATGACGAAAAAGTGTTGCTTTATTAAAAGGTAAAACATGGTTTTCTCGAATGTGTAATATCCACTGAGCTAAAAAATGAACAGCTTAATACTTTTTTAACATTCTACCTTGAACATTCTACGAGCTCATGAACAAAAGTTATACCCTCAAAATATTCTATTTTAGAGGGTTTTGAGAGCCATAAAATTAGGGAATTGAAGAGATATGGTAATGAACCTCTGGCCCGGAATTGGGGCTTCCAATTCTGAGCATTTTGGATGCTATTGGGCTCGAAAGTGGCGCTATTTTGCCATGTTGTGGAGGGATCGTTTTTCAAGATGGCTACTTTTCCGCTTTGGGGAAAATAGGGGTCGTCTTCTTTGGGTGAGAATATCTCGAGAAGTCAATGGTCAACCCACCAAAAAATGAAAAGAAAATGAAAGATGACACATTGATCATCATTTTTTCTGTGCAGCTTATATACCTGTGAGAGTTCTGAGTATTTTTAAAAGAATTTTGAAGTATGCGCATTAAGCACTAGTGTCTATGGGATTTTTTTTGCAGCGTTGCACCCTTAATGACTATCAGAGTATCAGATGTGTAAAATTAGGTGCGTCGGACCATCGATGCTGTACGTGTTAGTATAGTCGACTCTTCCTTCTCTTCTGGTGAATTCCCCAGATTCGTAAAATTAGGACACCGCATGCATGATCATCCAAGCACGTATAATATCTAGACTTCAAATATTAAAAATCCTAGGAAGCTTCCCACCCCCTTTCCCACCCCCATACATTTGAATTGGTTCTGCCGGTGGCCTTTTAAAAATTCCAATTATAAATACACCATACTTGCCTCAAATGGACATATTAACGATAGTACGCATATTTAGGTTGTAATTATGCAAATAATGCATGCATTATGCATTTTTCAGCTGGGACAGTGCTTGTCAACAGACTTATTCATCCAGTATAAGCTTTGGATGATCATCCATATTGCAAGCTTTTGATAACAATTCGGTTGGCTATACTTTTTTTTCAAATAAACGCAACTTCTGATCTTTTGTGTGTTTAACCAGCACAATGATTATAATCAACGTCTGGTATGGAGTACCGAAGTGTGACGTCATTCAGAACCAGAAAGTGTAATGCAAACGAATGGAGTACGCGTCAGGGAACACGACAGAAATAGCTTCCTCGTGCATGAGGTCCATAGAGGGAATCTTCACTCTTTAATAATCATCGAATATAAAAAAGGTGCACGCAACTCTTTCGTGGCAATAGAGGCGCTGTTGCAAGCGGCGTATCCAGCGTTTCATGGGGGGGGGGGGGGGGGTTGCAAAATTAAGACTTTATTGTATCGACGTCTGAACCACCTTAAAATTGTCGAAACTTTACGATGAAAAAAATAAACCAACATGCCCCCCCCCCCGCAACCGATACACCACTGGCTGTTGCTGTGATGTCACATACGCTATCCCTCCAAGGGCCCCATACAGGGAGAACAGTTCATTCAAAACCGATGGAACTTTCCTTATTAATAATAAGAAATAAATAAAGTTTGCGCAATGACCAGCTGTCTTGCAAGAAAATGAATGTAAAACACCAGCAAAGCAGAGAATATTATGGTTCCCAGCAAAAACGAAACGTTTCGCGAAAATCTCATCAGCAAAGCTAAAATGGCAGTGAAACACTCACAAATCCTATATATTTTAACAGATCCTTCGCTGACTGATGTCTGTCTGTCTGTCTGTCTGTCCGCCGGGCGGTCGTGCTGTCTGTCTGTCTGTCTGTCTGTCTGTCTGATGTCTGTGTGACACGTTTATTGTAAAAGGAAAGAGTGCATGTGCGCAAGCACTAAATATAACGTTATAATACAGAACTAATACGAGTATAAAGCCTAAAACGTCGTGGGATTACGGTGGTGCGATCTGAGGCAATTTTTGACTACTGGCAAGGTTTTAGCAAAAGATCATCATTTAAGCATCATTTTCGAGTTTGGAGTCATTGAATCAGCTATTCTGAGCTATACTATAGAATCAAATGTATAGGCTACAATATTCTATTCAGGGACGAAGATAGTGGGGGGAACGACATGTCCCCCGTCCCGTCCGATCGACGCCCATGGTTGGCACCGTGCGTCTGAACGACAAACTTAACACGTAAATTGTATACCTAGGGCCTACATAGGCCTACATGCTGTACAGCGTCAGTTGGTGAAATTGAAAATTCTGAGAGACAGACCCTAAAACTGTTAAAAAACTTTTCTCTGCGTGTGCTCTTACATATTGGCACTTATGGGGTACCGGGAACAAAGGGCCACAATAGGGACAATGGTACCCCACAAGTCACACTTTAGAAATTGAAGTGCCCCATAGCCCTTACGCTATTTATTTTGAGATTTCTAAGGGGACAAAGTAGAACAAAAGAAGGGGATTGGGGTCGAACAATAGTGGTACCCCATAAACCCCAAATGCTAAGTGTGTGCGCGTTTATGGTGTAAATCGAGGACACACACGTGCAACATCATCGACGAATCGAGGACAGGAACCAAATCGAGGACGACTTCGATTAGAAAACGTGTACAAACCCAATGAGAGCTGTTGCAAAATTTTAGGGTATAAACAAAGGAAAACTTAGGGAAGAGGAACAAAATAAAATCCTCGATTGACACCATAAGCTAACGTGTCGGTGTGGTTGTGTGTGGGCTGTGTTTTATGGCACACTGCGGTACTTTCGTTGGTCCTCAGATTATGCGCGCGGGGGAACAATGGAACCTTTCAATGCAATTTTCTTGAAAATGATTTTGGTGTCAGAAAGCTCATGTGCCCTTCTGCCGGGCACCCGACGAATTTTAAGCTGAGAGTTTTTTCCTTTCAAATACTGGAAAAAAGTCTTGAAACATGTAACAACTCCTTTTTGGACCAATCCAATGACATTCTCACTTTAGGGGATTTACAGTATACCTAGTTTGTGCATGAAATGCATAGCGTATTGTGTACTAATCCTGACAAACAACACGGCACTTAATATGTTAAGAGTACAAATGAATTTCATTTTCGGCTTGAACAGGTATCTCATCCTTTTTAGTCCTATTTTAAACCTTTTTCAGCGTCATAAATATGTTCAAATATTGAAGAAATTGCACAAATGAATGCTTCGATGTTTGAAGCACCATTGGAAAGGATGAAAAACCACTTCTTTTACATAATTGGCATTTTCTCAGCAACCCAATGTGCTGTTTTCATGATTGTTTTTCAGCATTTAAAAGAAAAACCTCTCAGCTTTAATCCGATATCCAAAACATAACTCACAGATCGCGTTTTTGAAAAAAAGGCAACTGTTTTAGGGTTGCATTTTTTTGGCGTCTCTTACCCTGTAGAATTTAATATTCTGGTTTTGCATTTTGAAATATTGATGAGTAATGTGTCCTCGATTACCAATTTTATGATAACAATTTTACGAGTCAGGCTAGCATAAATATGCACGAAAATGTAAAAACGCCATCTGTTATGCCATGATATTCAAATATCAAGCAAAAAGCCTAGGGTGTTCCAAGAATGTAATGGTTAACTTTGAAATATTGATGGGTAGTGTGTCCTCAACTTAGCACCACAAAAAAAATTGCATAAATGCATGAACATGTTTATAAAAACGCCATCTGTTAATCCATGAATATTTGGCTGATAATATTCAAATAAGCAAAAAGCCTAGATAGGATGTTTCAAATAATTGACTATAAAAATACAGTAGCGCAACTGTGATGTGTTCGAAAATTTGCGCTCTATCGGCCTTTGTGTTGGCTACATTTGACGCAGTCATGCGCACATCAGGGAACCTGCTGGACGGAGAAGTTCCACGATGACGTTTGACCACCGGTCGATAAAAGATATTCGCGCTTGAACGGTAGTGCGCAGGCGCGAAATACGTCGCGGATCACACGCTGTCAAGCAGTGGTTCTCGATCGAGCTTTTCCTTGCACTAAAAACGATCATCTCTCCCTTAACGGATATCATTCTGTTTGACGGAGTTGCAACCGCACAGTCACGAACGCGCAAGTATAAAGAAAGTTAGAGAGTCTGAAGAAATTTCCACATCTACCGGTATACCATGTCTCCTACTACCTATCTGTGCGCCTTTCTGGCAGCCGGCATGATGATAGTCGGCGCGACTGCTGGTTTGTACAAAAGGTTTTTTTATATTTAAATACAGGGCGAGTCAAAGACGGGAAACCCAAATGTCGGGACCATTGTTTAGTGTAGTTCTGCATGTAGCACTTTCAAAATCTAGGATATGAAAGCCCAATTCATAAACTTTCTTTTAGTACAAGACTTATTCAAATCACTCATGTACTTTTCAAGTAAACTCAGTGCAGAATTTTATTTTGCCCATGCAAAAGAAAAAAATAACATAAAAGCCATTTTATGATAACATTAGCATATGTTGCATAAACTCCAACGACGTTAGAGGCTCCGTCAAGTTTACCGTTGTCATAAATTCAGTGCAGAATTTTATTATACCCATGCAAAAGACCAACAACAACAAAAACAATATAAAAGCCATTTTATCTTAAAATTAGCATAATTATGTTTCATAAACTTTAACGACATCAGACGCTCTGTCAATTGTACACCGAAACAGCTAACAAAAAGCCATTTTATTTTAAGATTAGCATAATTCTGTTGCATAGATTCTAACGACGTTAGAGACTTCGTTAACTCTACAAATTGTGCAGTTCAATTATGATTAAGTCACTGTAAACACAAGAGAATATGCGAGCCCGACCACTCTGCGTTTGTAACTCAACAAACGCGAACCTCTAGTTTCTTGCTTGATAACGTCATTATTCACAAACGGGAAGTGATACTGATTTGTGGATAAATATCCATTGTGAAGTTAATTAACGCATGAAAATCTGGAAAATATAAGTGTAGTATTCATAACACCTTACTTCCGGTTTGATGATGTCACAGTATTTGGAAGCAAAAGGTGAACATTGTAAATTTGTAATGGATATCGTTATTTGGACTACGAAGATACAACATGGATCAAATGATAGAATTTAATTTAAAATATGATCATTTTCAAATTCTCAAATTTGAAACCTTGCCAAGTTATCTGTGGTTAATCAGAGAATATCAAGGGGCGATTTTGTAAAATTTGAACGGATGGTTTTCAAATTAAAGAAAGCAAACAATATTAAATGTGCCGCTAGGGGGCGTCCTTTTGAATGATGACGTCATCACACTTTTTGTGACTGGCATTTCTCACTAAACACTTTCATAATTTATATGTGTGTAGTAAAATGCTTCCGCTTTTGACTTATATTTGGTTTTTATTGCACTTTCGGTAACACCGGAAGTAAAGGTCAAGCGGTTTTGTGTCTGGGGACAAGAAAGGTTTCTAACGGCATAGTCTACAACCTCACGAAAAAATGAACACGATACTCTATTCAGTTCAAAAGATATAGTGCAAACGATATTATCAAAATTTGCCCTGGAATCACTTGTAATTTGACATCTGATGACGTCATGATGACATAACACAATTTATAACATCTTTGTAACATGGTACAAGATCACACTATGTTTTATGATCAGACCGTGAACCGTTAGGAAGAAATTTGGCTTTGTGTCGATTTCAGGCTAATGTCTTCATTTTAAATTCGCCTAACTTTGACCTTCCTGTTGACCAGGAAATAAAGGTCAAGCGAGTTCACGCACACGACAACAAATGTATGGTCTATCTGAATACAAGGTTGGAACATGATTGATTGTGTTGTTCAAGAGTTATAGGTGAAAGGAGTTCGTCATTTTTTTAACGAAAATCGCTTGTAATTTGACACCCGATGACGTCATCATGACGTCAGAGTAATATGCACCACTAGGGATGAGGGTCAATTTATGTTGAAAGTTACAAGTTCATACCATATACCGTTTAGGAGAAAAGCCGCGGAGAAGTATTGTCCGGAAAAAAAGAAGAAGGTTGACCAGAACAATAACGAGAGTGGTCGGATTGTGCCCGACCACTCAATTAATCGGAACAATTCTAGACAGTGGCCGGGTTGTGCCCGACCACTCAAAGAAAGAAAGAAAGAAGATTAATTGTAACAGTTCCAAAGAGTGGTCGGGTTGTGCCCGACCACTCAATAAGGATGTGTGTGAATTGTTTCGTACTGCTGAAAGAACACACACCTTTTTTGTGATCCGTGGACAGAACTTTAAAACGGTGGTTGTGTTTAAAAACTCCGTAACTTGAAAAGTGCATGATTGAGTGATTTGACTGACTCTTGTACTAAAAGAAAGCTTATGAATTGGGCTTTCATATCCTAGATTTTGACAGTGCTACATAAAGAACTTCACTAAAACAATGGTCCCGACATTTGGGTTTCGGGTTTTTTTTACTCACCCTGTACTTAAGTTCGTCTTAGAGAAAATAATGCCTGCGATGAATATCAAAACTCGCGCCAAACTCTCAAAGCCATCGATCGACTGATATTAGACTGAACCGATTTGTATTTCAGTGTCGTTTAAAACATTGGTTAATTCCTCTGTTCAGAACAGCCAGTAAAAAGTGCGCTTCGCAGTGCTTGTAAACACATGTTCAAAACTTTTCACGGTGAGCTGTTGTTCACAGTAAGAAACCTATAGTGTTTAAGATTTGAAACATTATAAACTTTTTTTGCATCAGTGTATACACATTTTAACGAGTTTAAAGGCAGGCACAATTACTTGCTTTTCGTGCAAAATAATACCACGCAAACTCCAGACGAGTGTACAAAACTAACCTGGTGAAGTTTCAGCTGAGTGGTTACAGTTTTCGAGAAAACAGTGAAAAACCAATCGACTGATCGTTGGAAATCACCAACATTTCTTCATTTCTTTCCAATGACAGCAAGCGAGACGGAGTAATTTCAAAGGGTGTTCAGCACCAGTAGTCCAGTATACGATCTTTAATCGAAAGATCTTAATTCGGTATAGGTTACTATAAATGCAAAGGATTGCCTTCAAGGAAATTGGATGCAGTACTGTGCCACACAAACCTTGGAATCATAAGCCTGTATAGTCTTTATTCTTTCTTTTTCAGATTCAGTGACGGACAAAATTAAGGCGGAGAGTGCGAAATATGTCGATCGCGGTCAAAAACACGACATTGACGGCATGCTCGAACTGTATACCGACGACATGGTTCTCATGCCACAAGGACATGGCACTGTTACCCAGGGCAAACCCTGTAAGTATGATTTTTCCCCCATTATTTCAAAGCCCCTTTTAAAAATGATATCCCGTTTTTCCCCCTTTTTAAAAACACAAAACCGCATTTAACGCGAGTGTCTAAAAAATGACTTGGGGGGGGGGGGAGCAATCTTACCCATTCTCTTTTTGGAATTCAATTGGAATCGCAAAATCCGATTTTTTTCAAATTTGGTATGCAAATACAGCTCTTTGGTATGTCATCAGGCAAAGTCTTACCACTCTAAAACATCCGGAATTGACCCGGAATAGCGGGTTCTATTTGGCTCAACACCTTTATCCAGGTTATAAAAATGACACTTTCTCGCGTCACCATGTTAGCCGGAAAGGTGTTATCTTGATCCGGAAAAGTGTTATTTTTGACTTGGAGGAGGGTCAAGCCAAATAGAACCGGATTCCGAGTCAATCTGAACGGATATTTCTTTTTAGAGTGTAGCCTAGTCGTGTAAAGCGTTTTGTAACATTCTGTTTTTCGTGTACAAGGTGTCCTAAAAAACAGATATCCTTTCATTTCTCAAAAAAAAAAAACTACTTAAGAAGAGTATTTCATCTTGATGGAGCATATTAATTATTATCTTGTGTATAACCATTGAAAATGCCATGGAAATCCGTTCATGCAAACCAGAGATCTAACAGATTCTAAAAGGCTATGGGTTTTTTTTTCACCCATTCAATGAGATTTACACATTAATAGTGTACATTTTCACTCTGATGTAAATTAAGTTAACGTACTGTACATGTATGCGTAAATCCCATCCTTTTGGAAGTGGTGAAAATCCATGGCCTTTTTTTACAATCTGTTCGATCTCTGGTATATATGAACGGCTTTCCATGGCATTTTTACTGAATAATGCTCCATCAAGATGAAATACTCATCTTAATTAGTTTTTGAGAAATTAAAGGATATCTGCTTGCACAACTTTTTTTTTTTTGGGGGGGGGCACCCTGTGTAGGTCTGGTTTCTGATGTTCACCATGTACGACATCAATTCAGAAATTGAAGAACTAAACCACGGACATATTCTTGTAAGTGCACTGACCAGCACTGGTATCCCAACAACATTCTGAAAATATCGAACAATCCACAGAATTAGTCGATTAGGATCGTTGGTATTCAATATTTTTCTATTTTTTTTTAAAACCATTTCCATAGATGCAAAGACACACATGGCGTGGGTTAACCATGTTAGGTCGATAACCATGGACACGAAGGAAGTGGCGCCACTGAATAGCTGCTCGGGAGACAACTACGTCTTTCAGCGCTCGGAAACCGTGGCCATCAACGACAAAGACGTGGTCATCTTCAAAGGAAAGTAAGTTCATGGATTGAAACTTTTTTGTTTTTGTTTTAGTTTGGATGTTGAACAATTTCGAAATAAATCTGTTGGAAAAAGTACAAGGCAGGAAAGCCACGACAAGGCACGACAGGTCACGACAAATCGGTGCATAAGGAAGGCCCTCATATGCCGATGAGAGAACATCAGGGTACCAGCATCGAACGACAAGTCGCGACAAAGCGGTACGACAGCACGAAATGCCACTGTACGGCACACACTCTCTGCGACATAGCGGGAATGACAAGTTACAATCAAGTCAATACGAGCAAATCTGTCACAAAGACTTCTCATCATAAAACTCAGTCTCTTAATTTTTATTTTCCTTTTTCTTCAGGAATTTGATCATTTGGAAGAAAGTCGGGGACAGTTACAAGATTTACACCCATATGTACAACATGGACCAGTGAGGTGTACCGGCTGCGAGACATTCAACTTCGGCATTTAAAGTCGACAATTAAAAATTGGCGTAGATTTGATTCAGAAGTAAAATTGAGATCTAGTGAATTACTCGTAAAATAATGTTAGTGCAATAACTTTTCGTCATTCTAATCTGTTACTTTAACATGCCAGCAAAACCCCTGTGGAAAATCCTATAGGCCTATCTGCCACTGTTCTGCACTTACAAGAAATTAAAGGGACATTACGGCCTGCAATCCCCGAAAATGTCATGTTTTGCATTGTTTACTTATTCTATTTCAAAGGCCTGGTTGAAAGGAAACAAACTTAATGTCTTACCGTTCCCAGGAAAAGACGGGAAAAAAAACGTTGTTTACATCGGACGCGGCGGACATTTTGTGGCATACTCATACGTATTTCTAGCTGTGTTTATTGAATGCACCGTACATGCTGTGTGTGCCATATAATACACACATCACCATACACAATAATATGTTGTTTCTTACACGTCCGCAGAATGCGAAACACTCTGAGGCAGGATTCACAACTAGCACTCAACAGCTCGATTTTTAAGAGTTAATATTTTGATCCCTGAAATTCGTTCTAGCATGGTTCTCGCAAGAATAACAAAAGAAAAACCGCCCATTTTTTTTAAAGGATGGTAGTGTGGACTTTAACATCCTGTTTTTAAAATGCTCTTTCTAATTAACATAGTTTCGTTGAAAACGCATTTTGTAGCCCAATTGGGTGCATTTCAGGCCGTAACGTCCCTGTAAAACAAATTTGGAAAATGAATTAATTATTGAAACAAGCGCGGTACGGGGGATGACTTCTCACTTTCCAAATTGCTGTCATATATATTATATATATATCCATCACATTTTGAAAATAATTGGGTTTTATTGGGCTTAATTTGGCTACATTTGGTTTTTTTTATAATGGCTAGATTAGGCCAAAAACGGAAATAGTTCTGCTTCCGGTTTCCCTACCTACCCTATTCTGACAGCCCCTACCCTAATTTTTTTTGTGGAAAAAATGAGGGGAAAAACACCCCAAACCATCAATTTTTACCTTTCACACTTGATTACACGCAGACGCCTCCATAATTACGATCGTGCACGAAAAATTTGCCAAAAAAATTTCCCTACCTACCTACCCTATTTTCAAATGCCAAGTAGTCGGAAGCAGGACTATTTTTTTTGGAATTATTAAAAAGACATTTTTGTAATAGATATACATCACGTCACATAGCGAATTCTTCCCAGTTAAGTGGTAAAGGGTTTGAACATTAACTCTTCAAACATTCTTTTGTGTAACACAAAATAATATGGGGAGTTGGTGTAACACATTTTTATTCATTTACTGTAAAGTTAATCGGTTTAAATAAAGATACTGCATATCAAAAATACTGTGCGTCGTGAATATAATTTCAACTGGTACACTGCAAAACCTGTTGTGTTAATTTAACACTATATAGATACCAACGGTGTAAATTTAACACTGCAGTTTTTGCAGTGTATTAACAGTTCATTAAGCGGAAAACACAATCCTAGCGGCTATAGTCACTGATAGCCAGTACAACTGATGGTGTCTACAATAGACATATATCAGGGTACGCCATTTTGAAAATCAAAGCGAGGCAAATAAACATGGCGGTGTAAATAGTGTGTTCGGTGAACGAGTGACTCTCGCACACTATTCACGCCGCCATGTTTGTTTGCGTTATAGCCTCGCTTTGATTTTCAAGATGGCGTACGCTGAAAAAGGTCTATTGTACATGAAAAACAAGTGAAGTTCGTCTTTGAGAGAATATTGCTTCGAATTCAATGAATTTAAAAGCTCATTTTAAAAACTCGAAGCTGTCGACCAACAGGTTGCAACTGAACCACTGCTGTATATCGTTTACAACATTACGTTGTGTATTTGTTCAGTAAACGGGAAAACAATTTGCATCCAAAGACATTTCTGAGTTGTTTGGAGAAAAGTAAATTTTTGGCCAAATTTGATCAAAAATGTATTAGGCTAACCCCCTTGTATTTTTTTCCATTTTGGCCGAAAAATGAAATTGCTTGAAACTTGCATGGAAGATGCCTGAAGGTCCCTGGAGCACAGTCCAACTTTAATTTTGGGCAGATTGGGCATTTAAAAGTAAGATTGCTTCGATAATTTGGGTCAAAATTAGTGAAAATTATTCATTTTTGTCTGATAAGTCGGTGATTTTAGCCCAAATCTTCAATATGATTAGTGTTTGAAGGTCGATTGATGTTCCTTTTGCATCCCAAGACATTTCTGAGTTGTTTGGAGAAAAGTCCATTTTGGGCCAAATTTGATCAAAAATGTAAGACTAACCCCTTGTAATTTTTTCAATTTTGGCCGAAAAATGAAATTGCTTGAAACTTGCAGGGAAGATGCCTGAAGGTCCCTGGAGCACATTTCAACTGGAATTTTGGACAAATTGGGAATTTAAAAGAAAGATTGCTTCGATAATTTGGGTCAAAATTAGTCAAAATTATTTATTTTTGTATCAATAAGTCGGTGATTTTTGCCCAAATCTTTAATATAATTAGTGTTTGAAGGTCGATTGATGTTCCTTTTGCATCCAAAGACATTCTTGAGTTGTTTGGAGAAAAGTCATTTTTTGGCCAAATTTGATCAAAAATGTAAGGCTAACCCCTTGTATTTTTTTCCAATTTTGGCCGAAAAATGAAATTGCTTGAAACTTGCAGGGAAGATGCCTGAAGGTCCCTGGAGCACATTCCAACTGGAATTTTGAACAGATTGGGCATTTAAAAGAAAGATTGCTTCGATAATTTGGGTCAAAATTAGTGAAAATTATTCATTTTTGTCTGATAAGTCGGTGATTTTAGCCCAAATCTTCAATATGATTAGTGTTTGAAGGTCGATTGATGTTCCTCTTGCATCCCAAGACATTCCTGAGTTGTTTGGAGAAAAGTCAATTTTGGGCCAAATTTGATCAAAAATGTAAGGCTAACCCCTTGTATTTTTTTCCATTTTGGCCGAAAAATGAAATTGCTTGAAACTTGCAGGGAAGATGCCTGAAGGTCCCTGGAGCACATTCCAACTGGAATTTTGGACAAATTGGGAATTTAAAAGAAAGATTGCTTCGATAATTTGGGTCAAAATTAGTCAAAATTATTCATTTTTGTCTGATAAGTTGGTGATTTTAGCCCAAATCTTCAATATGATTAGTGTTTGAAGGTCGATTGATGTTCCTTTTGCATCCAAAGACATTCTTGAGTTGTTTGGAGAAAAGTCATTTTTTGGCCAAATTTGATCAAAAATGTAAGGCTAACCCCTTGTATTTTGGAGAAAAGTCATTTTTTGGCCAAATTTGATAAAAAATGTAAGGCTAACCCCTTGTATTTTTTTCCAATTTTGGCCGAAAAATGAAATTGCTTGAAACTTGCAGGGAAGATGCCTGAAGGTCCCTGGAGCACATTCCAACTGGAATTTTGGGCAGATTGGGCATTTAAAAGAAAGATTGCTTCGATAATTTGGGTCAAAATTAGTCAAAATTATTCATTTTTGTCTGATAAGTCGGTGATTTTAGCCCAAATCTTCAATATGATTAGTGTTTGAAGGTCGATTGATGTTCCTTTTGCATCCAAAGACATTCTTGAGTTGTTTCGAGAAAAGTCATTTTTTGGCCAAATTTGATCAAAAATGTAAGGCTAACCCCTTGTATTTTTTTCCAATTTTGGCCGAAAAATGAAATTGCTTGAAACTTGCAGGGAAGATGCCTGAAGGTCCCTGGAGCACATTCCAACTGGAATTTTGAACAGATTGGGCATTCAAAAGAAAGATTGCTTCGATAATTTGGGTCAAAATTAGTGAAAATTATTCATTTTTGTCTGATAAGTCGGTGATTTTAGCCCAAATCTTCAATATGATTAGTGTTTGAAGGTCGATTGATATTCCTCTTGCATCCAAAGACATTCCTGAGTTGTTTGGAGAAAAGTCAATTTTGGGCCAAATTTGATCAAAAATGTAAGGCTAACCCCTTGTATTTTTTTCCATTTTGGCCGAAAAATGAAATTGCTTGAAACTTGCAGGGAAGATGCCTGAAGGTCCCTGGAGCACATTCCAACTTTAATTTTGGGCAGATTGGGCATTTAAAAGAAAGATTGCTTCGATAATTTGGGTCAAAATTAGTGAAAATTATTCATTTTTGTCTGATAAGTCGGTGATTTTAGCCCAAATCTTCAATTTGATTAGTGTTTGAAGGTCGATTGATGTTCCTCTTGCATCCAAAGACATTTCTGAGTTGTTTGGAGAAAAGTCATTTTTTGGCCAAATTTGATCAAAAATGTAAGGCTAACCCCTTGTATTTTTTCAATTTTGGCCGAAAAATGAAATTGCTTGAAACTTGCAGGGAAGATGCCTCAGGGTCCCTAAAGCACATTCCAACTGGAATTTTGGACAGATTGAGCATTTAAAAGAAAGATTGCTTCGATAATTTGGGTCAAAATTAGTGAAAATTATTCATTTTTGTCTGATAAGTCGGTGATTTTAGCCCAAATCTTCAGTATGATTAGTGTTTGAAGGTCGATTGATGTTCCTTTTGCATCCAAAGACATTTCTGAGTTGTTTGGAGAAAAGTCAATTTTTGGCCAAATTTGATCAAAAATGTAAGGCTAACCCCTTGTATTTTTTTCCATTTTGGCCGAAAAATGAAATTGCTTGAAACTTGCAGGGAAGATGCCTGAAGGTCCCTGGAGCACATTCCAACTGGAATTTTTGGCAGATTGGGCATTTAAAAGAAAGATTGCTTCGATAATTTGGGTCAAAATTAGTCAAAATTATTCATTTTTGTCTGATAAGTTGGTGATTTTAGCCCAAATCTTCAATATGATTAGTGTTTGAAGGTCGATTGATGTTCCTTTTGCATCCAAAGACATTCTTGAGTTGTTTGGAGAAAAGTCATTTTTTGGCCAAATTTGATCAAAAATGTAAGGCTAACCCCTTGTATTTTGGAGAAAAGTCATTTTTTGGCCAAATTTGATAAAAAATGTAAGGCTAACCCCTTGTATTTTTTTCCAATTTTGGCCGAAAAATGAAATTGCTTGAAACTTGCAGGGAAGATGCCTGAAGGTCCCTGGAGCACATTCCAACTGGAATTTTGGGCAGATTGGGCATTTAAAAGAAAGATTGCTTCGATAATTTGGGTCAAAATTAGTCAAAATTATTCATTTTTGTCTGATAAGTCGGTGATTTTAGCCCAAATCTTCAATATGATTAGTGTTTGAAGGTCGATTGATGTTCCTTTTGCATCCAAAGACATTCTTGAGTTGTTTCGAGAAAAGTCATTTTTTGGCCAAATTTGATCAAAAATGTAAGGCTAACCCCTTGTATTTTTTTCCAATTTTGGCCGAAAAATGAAATTGCTTGAAACTTGCAGGGAAGATGCCTGAAGGTCCCTGGAGCACATTCCAACTGGAATTTTGAACAGATTGGGCATTCAAAAGAAAGATTGCTTCGATAATTTGGGTCAAAATTAGTGAAAATTATTCATTTTTGTCTGATAAGTCGGTGATTTTAGCCCAAATCTTCAATATGATTAGTGTTTGAAGGTCGATTGATATTCCTCTTGCATCCAAAGACATTCCTGAGTTGTTTGGAGAAAAGTCAATTTTGGGCCAAATTTGATCAAAAATGTAAGGCTAACCCCTTGTATTTTTTTCCATTTTGGCCGAAAAATGAAATTGCTTGAAACTTGCAGGGAAGATGCCTGAAGGTCCCTGGAGCACATTCCAACTTTAATTTTGGGCAGATTGGGCATTTAAAAGAAAGATTGCTTCGATAATTTGGGTCAAAATTAGTGAAAATTATTCATTTTTGTCTGATAAGTCGGTGATTTTAGCCCAAATCTTCAATTTGATTAGTGTTTGAAGGTCGATTGATGTTCCTCTTGCATCCAAAGACATTTCTGAGTTGTTTGGAGAAAAGTCATTTTTTGGCCAAATTTGATCAAAAATGTAAGGCTAACCCCTTGTATTTTTTCAATTTTGGCCGAAAAATGAAATTGCTTGAAACTTGCAGGGAAGATGCCTCAGGGTCCCTAAAGCACATTCCAACTGGAATTTTGGACAGATTGAGCATTTAAAAGAAAGATTGCTTCGATAATTTGGGTCAAAATTAGTGAAAATTATTCATTTTTGTCTGATAAGTCGGTGATTTTAGCCCAAATCTTCAGTATGATTAGTGTTTGAAGGTCGATTGATGTTCCTTTTGCATCCAAAGACATTTCTGAGTTGTTTGGAGAAAAGTCAATTTTTGGCCAAATTTGATCAAAAATGTAAGGCTAACCCCTTGTATTTTTTTCCATTTTGGCCGAAAAATGAAATTGCTTGAAACTTGCAGGGAAGATGCCTGAAGGTCCCTGGAGCACATTCCAACTGGAATTTTTGGCAGATTGGGCATTTAAAAGAAAGATTGCTTCGATAATTTGGGTCAAAATTAGTGAAAATTATTCATTTTTGTCTGAGAAGTCGGTGATTTTAGCCCAAATCTTCAATATGATTAGTGTTTGAAGGTCGACTGATGTTCCTCTTGCATCCAAAGACATTACTGAGTTGTTTGGAGAAAAGTCAATTTTTGGCCAAATTTGATCAAAAATGTAAGGCTAACCCCTTGTTTTTTTTTCAATTTTGGCCGAAAAATGAAATTGCTTGAAACTTGCAGGGAAGATGCCTGAAGGTCCCTGGAGCACATTCCAACTGGAATTTTGGGCAGATTGGGCATTTGAAAGAAAGATTGCTTCGATAATTTGGGTCAAAATTAGTGAAAATTATTCATTTTTGTCTGATAAGTCGGTGATTTTAGCCCAAATCTTCAATATGATTAGTGTTTGAAGGTCGACTGATGTTCCTCTTGCATCCCAAGACATTTCTGAGTTGTTTGGAGAAAAGTCAATTTTTGGCCAAATTTGATCAAAAATGTAAGGCTAAGGCCAAAAAAAAAAGTCTCCGGTTTCTGGTATGCGCGCGCGTCGCCGTAGCCATGCGCGTCGGCAAAATGAAAAAGTTTTTTTTTCAATAAAAGATGATGTCTCAAAACCGCCAAACTCACTGGTTTGACTGGAATTCTGCTGCTGCACAATCTTAACGTGTTTTTAGATGGGGTTATGATCGAGAATAAGCTTTATGTGGCCTCTCTGGACTCTTATATATTTTCACTAAGTTTAGTCGGGCACCATATGCGGTCATCAGCCGACATTTGAAGCAAAAAAGTCAGGTAAAAAAAAAAAAAAAGCCGCGTCGCCGCACAACTTTTCGGACAAGCTCCATACCAGAAACCGGAGACTTTTTTTTGTGGCCTAACCCCTTGTATTTTTTTCAATTTTGGCCGAAAAATGAAATTGCTTGAAACTTGCAGGGAAGATGCCTGAAGGTCCCTGGAGCACATTCCAACTGGATATTTGGGCAGATTGAGCATTTAAAAGAAAGATTGCTTCGATAACTTGGGTCAAAATTAGTGAAAATTATTCATTTTTGTCTGATAAGTCGGTGATTTTAGCCCAAATCTTCAATATGATTAGTGTTTGAAGGTCGATTGATGTTCCTCTTGCATCCAAAGACATTCCTGAGTTGTTTGGAGAAAAGTCATTTTTTGGCCAAATTTGATCAAAAATGTAGGGCTAACCCCTTGTATTTTTTTTTCAATTTTGGCCGAAAAATGTAATTGCTTGAAACTTGCAGGGAAGATGCCTGAAGGTTCCTGGAGCACATTCCAACTGGAATTTTGGGCAGATTGGGCATTTAAAAGAAAGATTGCTTCGATAATTTGGGTCAAAATTAGTGAAAATTATTCATTTTTGTCTGATAAGTCGGTGGTTTTAGCCCAAATCTTCAATATGATTAGTGTTTGAAGGTCGATTGATGTTCCTCTTGCATCCAAAGACATTCCTGAGTTGTTTGGAGAAAAGTCATTTTTTGGCCAAATTTGATCAAAAATGTAGGGCTAACCCCTTGTATTTTTTTTCAATTTTGGCCGAAAAATGTAATTGCTTGAAACTTGCAGGGAAGATGCCTGAAGGTTCCTGGAGCACATTCCAACTGGAATTTTGGGCAGATTGGGCATTTAAAAGAAAGATTGCTTCGATAATTTGGGTCAAAATTAGTGGAAATTATTCATTTTTGTCTGATAAGTCGGTGGTTTTAGCCCAAATCTTCAATATGATTAGTGTTTGAAGGTCGATTGATGTTCCTCTTGCATCCAAAGACATTTCTGAGTTGTTTGGAGAAAAGTCAATTTTTGGCCAAATTTGATCAAAAATGTAAGTCTAACCCCTTGTAATTTTTTCAATTTTGGTCGAAAAATGAATTGCTTCAAACTTGCAGGGAAGATGCCTGAGGGTCCCTGGAGCACATTCCAACTGGAATTCTGGACAGATTGGGCATTGAAAAGAAAGATTGCTTTTAGAATTTGGGTCAAAATTAGTGAAAATTATTAGCCAAATTTGATAAAAAATTAAAATTTTTAAATTTTGGCCGAAAATGAAATTGCTTGAAAGTTCTTTTAACATTTTAAGCATATTATTATTCTATCTTCTTTTTTGACTTCTAAGAAAAAGAAGCATTCATAGACTTTCTTACGGTGCCCCTTAAATAAGCAAAAAGAACGCCAGCTTGGTAATCTCCAATTAACAATTCCCAGCAAGTACCAAGATAGGAATTTCTAGTCTTTATTTTCAAATTTATACGGATATATCTATGAGTAGATTTTTCTTCAATGGTAAAAAAAATTGACTCAAAAATTGTATTTACACAACGAAGTGTTAATTTATTTGTCACCTTTAAAATCTCTTTCACAATATACATGTATTCATAAGCCACCTAGGTGGCATATTTTATCATTTTTTTAATTTGTGCCGAAATTGTAATATTTGTGCAGAAGACTAGTACACAAGCTTGAAATCTATCCAATTAAAATTTCAAAGCTTTGAATAATTGAACAGCAGGAGTTGTTACTTTTTCCTGCTCATTTATCATCGATATGGGGAGCTCCCGTAAGCCTTTCTGAGACATGGCCGAAACAATAGGAATTACGGGCTTGTTGGTTTCGTAAATTTTCTTGAATACAAAAGAGTTTACCAGTGCCCTCATAATGCTGCCGATTAGAGCACCATTTTCAAGACTGAAATTTAACAATGGACCGATCCAGTAAGCCCCGCCCACTGGGCAAATTAACACGTGCCTTTCTCCAATGCCAAACTGCATTTTCCTACCGCGCGCACAATACGCGCGTGCACGCAATGTCGAACGTTTGTGCACGCACGTCGGACAGAAATCACAGCTGTGATTGGTCAGAATACCATGGGGCGGTGCTTACTGGATCGGTCCATTGTTAACTGCTGTGATGTGGTAACTCGATTGATTTTGACTGAAAGGTTACTACTTGGCACAGAATGTATGTTGCATAGGAGAGTAAATAATATATTAATATTACAAGCTAACAATTTTATAGGTCAAAGAGTGCGTGATTCCAATTCATTCAAGTCTATCCTTGCAGTGTTAAACGTGATCCAGGGAGACCTTTCACCCATGGACTATCACTGAAACTGAGGTTGAAACAATGAGGTTGCAGTAAACCCTGAGAATGAGGTTAGATAAAAATCACAAACAACACTGTAAATATACGTAGCCTCTTTTGCATCACTGTGAAATATACACATTAAAAATATTGAAATTAAAAATTTACTTAAGAGCACCCAGCTGTGAAAAAATAAATTGCTCAATCAAAAATTTGCTCAAGGTGCCCTATATTGACCATGATGAAATTAAGTTATGTAATTTAAAGGTACAATCCATCATTTGTAATTTGTGCATTTTGTTCGTTTGAAGCAACAAACGTGCTCCAAATCCAAAGAAGGGTGCTGAACAACTAACCTGATGAATTTTCAGCTCAGCTTCAGCTGTATCACTCTAGGATCTCGATTTCAAATCAAAAGTTGCTGAATCGTGTTTCATAAAACTAAAGATTATTATTAAGGGAATAAATGTGTGCTCGAGAGGTTTTTATCACTCTGTTTAATACCGCTTAGAGTCTGGGTGCTGATAATTACCCGAGCCGATAAATACCGACCGAGCACATATTTATTCCCATTCATAAATACCTTATCCGTAAAAAAATATCAAATAATTCGTTCAAAAAATCCCGATTTTGTTCAACAAGTTCACTTCATGCTTTTTGAAACATCCCTCTAGCAAAATAATGGAGTGTTCAGCTGGCGAGTAAGATGTAAACAACCCTTTTATGGAGATTGACGCGCGCGTAGCATGTTCTGCGCGATGTCACGCAGAACGCACCTGGGGCGTTGCGTTTTGAATTTAGAACTATAAAATTCTGACTCGCATGTAGTGTTGCGCATGCCTACGTGAGGATTGTGAACGTTCAACCAATGGAACGGTAAGAGGAACTGGATTTTTAGGAGTCCACATTTTATTGTGACACTGGAAAAGTGTTTAAGACCAGCTAGCCATGTCTTTATCATCCATTTTAGACCGGCCACGTGACGGGCTCTCGACCAATAGGAATAGCTAAACTGTCTGAAGTATTTATGAATACTGATTTATACACCAATTAATTCATTTGTATCTCTAGCTCTATATATTTTTATTACAACCAATTTTTTTGATATACCTATTGCCACATCTCACTCATGCATAACATGTCCTTGTCCACATTATTTGTAGGTACTTTTGTCCTTGTGCCAGTATATTCTTTGTTTTTGTCTTCATAGGGAAGGGGAACAAAAAGCAATTGCTTCTCCTTTTCCTACACGATAACATCGCTCAATTATTTGTTTATTATATTGCTATATAATATATAGTATTACTATAATATATAATATTACTATCTTTTGTAATATTCTACTCCAAATACATGTATACATCAGTCTAGATCGACAGAGTGGATGACTGATCCCTCTCGTCTTTCTTCTGAATTTCTTTCATGACGAATTCCAGTTCCCTTGATTGATTCTTTTCGTTCAATGTATTGTTTACCTAAAATTAATCGACTACTGTTTTGTTTTCCTCTTAAATAACGGTTTTCCAGTTCACTGTTCTATTGCCTTGCCTTATTGTCTTCTTACATTGCTATGCATTGAATCCTGTGGTTGTGACAATAATGTCCTAGGCTTTATTACACATGTCTTGTTTTATTAATAAAGACACAAATTATAAAAATACCAAACTGTGACGTCATTTTGAACCGGGAAGTGTAGTGCAAACGAATGGAGTACGCGCGCGTGTCGGTTTACAGGCTGAATCACACGCTTATGTCTTTTACACACATAATTGTGCGTGTGACGTATTCACTTCAGTACTCTACAGTGTACAAGTTGCAGTGTATGACGACTACTGTTATCACTTTTCTTAAATGATGTTGACATGAAATACATGTATCTGAACTGAATATTATAAAGATGTCCACAAGGTCAAAAACAGCCCTCCACTTATTTTTTAGTGAACAATGCTGGGTTTTGAGAAATAGAAAACATATTTGTTAAATTTCCACAAATTCATGTTAGTCATTGTGGAGGTTGAGAAAATAATCTCCAGATCTGAATTGAGCTTTTTGATCAGACTTGTTCCTGGGCCAAGCGATACGCGTGGACGCTCCCTTTCTCCATGTAAAGCTGGCTGGCCATCTTGTTGTAGCATCTCCGTTTGGAGGGCAGTATGGTGTAGTCCACCTCACCGTCTTCCTCAGCGGGTGTGCCATATCCCCCACCCCCAGGGGTACACAAACACAATGTGTCCTGTCAGACGAGAAAAAGAGAGAGAGTTTTGAAAATGCTGAACAGTTTAGCTCCGTGATCCAGAAACCTATTACGGGGAAGCTTCCTGGACCCTAAAAAATCCTAGAACCCAAGGGAAGTTTCTGTTGTGCTCTTGATGGTTTTCATGTGTGAATATATTTATGGGGCATCAAACAACTTGTAGCTCCCCCATTGACCCTTGCTCCTTGGAGTAATTCACTAGGAATCTTCCTCACTCGGGTAACTTCCAACACCAAATGGTATACTCTACACAAAACTGTTGGACTCTGATTATAGGTGATATGCTTAACCCCACAAAGCATACTCAGTTTACTAGTACAGTATTCACTCTAACAGATTCCAACAAATCCTGGTGTTAGAGTTTGATTGTTTGGGGTTGTTAGGGTTAATCTTGCAAATTTAGCTTGGGCAGTTTCTGATTTTAAGACTCCAAGGTACATTTTCAAAATCAAACGTGGTGTACATTATTACCAGGTACTCTATGTTTGTCTATAGATACCATGACCACAAACAGTTAAAGCAATTATCCATATAGTGCTGATCTAGCCAATTTGTTTACCCTTTTTCTTAAACAGGGCTTTTGTACACAATTTCACGGCTCTGCTAACCACAAATTCCACGCTTACAATCCTCACTTGGTGCTAACCATGCTAGCAGACAACTTCTGTGCTAACCCTGTAAGCACAGAATCCTTAAAGTACAAGCTGTACGTGTGCGCAAAAACAAACATTCCTCGTTAACCTGTGTAATATGCTTACCGTAAGCACAGAATTTTCTGCTACAGTAAGCAAGAATTTTCCGCTATCGGTAAGCAGAGCAAGCAATTGCACCCTGGTCACATTTCAAAGGGAATACCATTATTGACATTCCATACAGACTTTTTCGGTATTGGAACATAATTTGGTATTGTGCCTTGTCAAAAAAATTTCCGCTGTATACAGTATCACCAAAATATCGTCCAAACCTTCTGTAGGATTTGAAGGATCTAGGACGGTACCGGCTATAACCACCTTCATTTGCAGACAAAAATTAACATACTTTGGTGCCTGTTTTCCTACTTAGTCCTGAATCTACTAAATCTTTTAAAACGGCACTGTTGAATCAAGGACTGCATGCTGTATTGCTACAACCAACTCTCTTGGACACCCTCTGCCACCAAAGGTAAACATGCACACAGTCTTCATGAGGAACTTTTTATACTATTACAGCAAGACAAAGTTCTTTATAATGGCCTACACTTCTATCAACTTACTCCGGCTGAGACTCTGATGGCTGTTTTGGCCCCTAGGTTTACAATGCGACCGCTGGCATAGGTGAATAGGTTTTTCCCTTGTTGACCAGGCTCACCACCTAAAAAATGCAAAGTGTTTCTTCAATTAGATTTAAAAGAAAGTCTACATTTGTTTAAATCAATATTTTTGTAGGAATCGAAGGTGACATTTTGGCAGGAGAATGTACACGCCAATATTATGGAACTAATAGTTTTGTAACAATTTCACAAAAGGCTTTTCAGTTTTATCTCATAGAAGAGCCAACACAGATTTCTGGTTAACAGAAAACTTTCAATGTATAATTACAAATCTCTTTCAAACAAGGGGGGGGGGGGGGGGGGAACCCACAAAAACGGTAACATGTAGGAAAGACGCTGCAATTCCGACATAAAAATTCACCATAGCTGAAGCTCCTGGTTATGGCAGAGTGATGTATTTTCTTTATTCTCAATGTGTCTACAGTAACAACTTCACACACGTAACACTGCTAATAATTTAACAACAAGACATGGCACGCCTAGTAAAACTGGTCCCACAGAGCACAAATTCTATCCGATTTAGAATTATATGCTGAGCTATATTTAGAGCTATATGCTGGAAGTCTTTTAACCCTAAATAACCTTCCCAAATCCTACAAAATCCTCTTTGCAAAAAGGCTACACGTATATGGCAAAAAAGTGCGGTTGATTTTGGAGGATGCACTGTGTCAAGGTCTTGGGCCGGACCTTGTGTCGTTTATGCTCAGCCGTGCATAAATGTAGGCCTAGATTATACTTGAAATCCTCCACACTGCTCCAGGATTTCACTGGCTCTGCTCCAGGATGTCACTGGCTCTGCCCAAACATACCGACAGTGATTGCTGGAGGATTTTGCAGGATTGAGGCAGTGGTCACCCCTCCAAGGACCCCATTCAAGAAATGTCGGAAGATTTTGCAGGACTGAGGCTGTATGCTATTTTTACGTGGAGGCAGTTGGAGGATTTTGCAGGACAGAGGTTGCATCCTAGCAAAAATGCCTAGGGAGTTAGGGTTAATGCATCTGGTGTACACAATGGGCTAGATTTAGATCATTCCTTCACTGGCATTATGGGGTAATCCTATACAAGACCACTGCCCGGCTCACCAGGGGGAGTCAGTCAGTCAGTCAGTCAGTGAGATAGCCACCAAGAGAACACTAGGCTGGCACTCTGGGACCAGCAAAAAGGCTGAACTAACCATTTAAGCCGTACGGTCTCAGTGTCCTCCGTTCTGTCAGTACTGACACAGTCAAAGGTCGACGGAACATCATTTCTCGGACGACCCCGTCTCCTCCCATGAACTTTCCCCGTCCACCTGTGTTAGGGTTCAGCTCAAACCGTTTGAGAACCACTGGGTATCTGATGAAAGGACAAATGGCATTGGTGGTCGATTTATCTTTAGCCAAGTGTGGAATATTTGTATGTCTTTTGCTGATGGGCAATTTCATCGTTACTCACGTTACATTTTTGATGTGCTTTTGAGTTTCCTTGGCCTGTAATTACCTAATACTCAAAAGGTTTAATAACTGTTATCCCCGTGGTAGATAGAGTAGACCTAGGCCTCCAAATTATAAAAAACTGTACCTTCTTTCCAAAATTTCTGGGTCGGTGATCCTGGTGTTTGTCATGTGAGTGTGGATACCACTCCGACCATCCCAAGTTGGACCCTACACAGTTAAAAAAGAAAGAAAAAGAACAAAGTAATGCTATGGAATTTGAGAGAAGGAATGAGCATGCAAAATGTGACATGTCATGGGAACAGAAATGGTGGACATTGATGTTAATTATTTTCTGTGGATTGTTTTCTGTGGATACATTTTCGCAATGCACTAAAATCGATGAACGTCAAACTCAATCATCTGACATTTTTACAAACATGACAAACGAAAATCTTTTTTTCAAATTCACTTTGAAAGTCAAAGATCTTGTGGCCTAAAACTGGGCCTAAATTATACCTGTTTTTTTTTTTTTCTTTTTCGCGTGGCATACTTCTACAAATGACAGAAATCCTATTAAAATCCTGCAGACAAAATTAGGAGCCGTTATTACTATGAGGTGGTATCACGCTTGTGTGCAAGTCATTCACATGCATGCAACGCTCCTTCAACCAATTAGGGTTAACAAAATGTGTGCATGTGTCAACATAAAGTATCCATGAGCGTACATAGATCTGATACACCGTGCCCTCTGGAGACGTGCACACAATAGGGAACAAAAGATTGTATACGTCTCCACAGGGCAATTTCTATAGATGAATACGTCTCCACAAGATTTTCACGAAATAGAAATATGGATTTTACTCAAAAACTAGGAATTTCCAAAATCAGTTGATTTGTCACAAATGGAAGAGTTTTAGAAAAGGGATATTTAGTCCGAATGTCAGCCAAGGAAATTAATTCTGGTTGAAATAAGAGCATTTTGAAACTTCACTTTCAAACTCGAAAACTTTACTACATGAGAACAAAGAAATGTCTCCACAAGAACACAAATATCAGTATGCATGCACTGACATGGCTGTAATTGGTCAAAACATCACAGGGCGCGGCTTAGTGGATTGGTGTATCACACATGAAGATGGAAAAGTGGACCAATAGAAAGACTTGACACAAAACTTACTGCTCCAGCGCCCCCGGCAACTGTCTCATAGTAACCAACATCGTCATCACCAAATGTCGTGTTGTTCATGCAGCCCTTCAAAGCAAAAAAAATTCAAACTTTGATAAAAGAAATGATTTTTAAAAAACCTTAACGACTCTTGCTACATTATTAACTTTTTGAGTTAAATGTGCAACTGGAATGGGCAAGAAATGGGCTCATGAAAGGATTACCCCCCCCCCAAAAAAGTACTATACATGTTGTTACAAACTACGTATTTCTTTTGGACTAGGTATTGTTTTTCTAATTGACCTATTGTTACAAGGTGCTGTCTGCATCACTTTGTCACTGAATATGTATCTTTCTACACAGAAATTCTGAGAAAATTCAGTTTCTGATGAATAGTAAATAATTAATAAGATGTAATTTTTGCGTCTGGGTGATATAAATCAAATTAGGTTTTGCCTTTCACTGACGTTTAAACACTGTATACTCAGTGTGTTACTTCCTGAGTGAAAGTTGGAAAAAAAATCACTCTGGTGAGTCTCAAACCCACGACCTCCTGCTTTCTAGTGCAGGAGGTCAGATAGTAAATAACTTATTTTGCTGGACAACATCAGTATAGTAACCTATATCTCTTTTCTTTTTAGAGAAATACTTCTTCTCAACCACAGGCAGTTCAGGCCTTCTATCTAGCTAATGACAGTGCATGAAAACCTGGCTACCTGGGATGCAGCACACACACCAAACGCTTTGAGGATGACATCAACTACACGTTGGCAGGTCAGGACGTTACCCCCAATCACTGCGGCATCGTGCGACGGGTCCAAAATGCTCCCCTTTGGAACATGCAACTGGATTGGTTTTAGACAACCCTGAATTATGTTTTAAAAAAATACAATAATTCAGTAAATTTATAAACTTTGTGCAGGGTTTAATTGCAAACAAATGAGACGAAAACAATGGAAGAATGAACAGCATCAGTGTGGAGGGCAATGATGTGATCCATCGCATTTTGTTGAGCAACATAGTTGACTTTTCAAATACCACAAGTGTGCAAAATTCCCATCCTCAATGGCATCAGCATTTTGATGTCAAGAAAACCTTCTGTTTATGATTTCTATACTTTCCTATATCAAAAGTGTCACATTTTCCCTGTTTCTGTTATAATAATAATTATAATAATAATCGGCATTTAAGAACGCTCTCATTAGTAAAGTAAATCACAGCGCTTACAGTATTATTACCCCTGATCATTGGGCCAATTAAACATTCCAAATGCCATCTCAGCTCCCTGGGGAGCATACAGCTCGATGCTGCCCGTTAGGCGAAAGCAAGCTTATTCAATCACAATAACCATCTCTGCCCTCACAGGTACCCATTTACTCCTGGGTGGAGAGAAGCAATGAGTGACAAAGTGCCTTGCCCAAGGGCACACGCACCATGACCCCGGCTGGACTCAAACCCACAACCTGCAGCTTTACCCAGACCACGAATCCAGTGCCCATAACCATGAGGCCACAGCACTCCACTAGCACTTTGTAATATTATGCCATTCAAGTATCATTAAGAATGACTTCAAATGATTTTGATTTGTTGGGGAATAGTTTGCTATCCACAATCACACTTTGAGGATGACTGCATTATATAATTATAAAACCATAGATGTCAGATGTACTAGGAACAGGGAAAGAGTGGACCCCACATTTATAAAAAAAATGACCCATATATGTTCCTGGCATATTAAGTTAACCACACATGATCATAACTGCCAGTTTTGTAAGAATAAACTAAGATTGATAATTTGCGACCAGTAAACGCTGTAGCTGTAATTCACAGGTGCATGTTAATGACATATGGATGTGGTTCTCCTTTTTATTGCGTAAAACTGGTTTGCAATATCAACAGCCAATTTCACGAAACTTTACGCAATGGCGTAACTCCACTTGCGCCACTTTTTATTGTGTACAAGTTGTGCAACAGTCCCTGTTGCACAACATTTCAGTTATGACACGTTTCGGGAAAGTTTTACTTACGCAACAAATTATGGCGTAACTAATTATGCCGTTATTTTAAGCTGCCACAGCTGGCTACACTGTGTACAGTCAGTTAGCGCTCTAGTAATTAGTAAAGTGGAATGCCCCTATAACGAACATCACAGGATCCACAGACATTGTTTGTAACAGCGATCGTTTGGCATAGCGATTTTAAGCTGCTGGTGCTTCGGTACTCACTTTTCAATAAATAGCACCCTTCAGAACTTTACCCTGCACGCCTGGTAGTTACTAAAGGTCGACTTTGAACACGCGCCAACTATTGAATTATGTAATTACACAGTTTTTGAGCTAACTACCTACACCGATGGGTGGCTTTTCCCTTCTATTCCTTGGGAAAATAATAGCCACTTGTCACTCTTTTGTTGACAATTTTCAACAACAATGTTCGGTACATTTTGTACACAAAAATCGGGAGCCAAGGACGATGTTCGGTATAACCGAATGTTCGGTATAGCCGAATGTTCGGTATAGCAGTGTTCGGTATCGGCTCCTTGCACCAACGAAAGAGGGCGCCCCTTTTACCTAGCAACGATGTCCCATGGGCGGGACATTTAGCTGGTTGACGCGCACCGTTCCTTGTGTGTGATGCACGTACCCCAGGGGATTTGTACTATGTACACGCAGTGGTATGGCCGCGAGGCGCGGCAAAATTGCAGTCAGGCAAGATGGCGTCGGTCGGTCACCCCCAACTGTACTTTCTTTGCCGGTGAGGGGGTACTTGTCAACGGAGCGGGTAGCGAAACAGATTGGGGAGATTTCCCATTTTTTTTCCTGACTGAGACTAGTACCTGGTTAAGGGGGACGTCATGGCCAATCATGCATCGTAGGCAGTAGATGATTGCTGACTTAGTGATAGCCTTGGGAGCGTTCAGGTTACCGTAGACCTCAAACCCAGTGCCAGTGAAGTCAAAAAATGCAGTGCCCTGTGAGGAGATTAGAAATTCATAAAATCTGCATGCTTACTGGATGCATGTTTACTCAGCCGCGAAGCAGGGGAAAGGCAGCAAATAGCCTCGTTGAAAAGTAATACCAATTCATAGAATATCAGTTAAAAAAAAAAGACTTAGGAATATTTCTCTGTGAATATTGTAACTAAATACTTGGTTGATAGTGAATCAAGATGGCAACATTGAGACAAAGCCTCTGATATGAAAAGCCAGTTATACCTCCTCGATATTGATGTCAATGGATAGGACAATGGGCGTGCCATCATCCAGGTAATCTTGAGCTGATAGCCTCGTGGTGCCCAGCTTCTCCTGCGTGTTCCTTCCGATCTCCCTCAGCATCTCCCGGACGGCAATCTCCGCGTTGCTCTGGATGTGACCCATGTAAGCCATGACTACGTCCAGACCATAGCTGTCAATCAGCTCCTTGATCAGATTTATACCCTTGGGTGGAGAGAAACGGAGGGAAACAACAGATGTGTAGAGGGAGGAATAAGTTTCAACAATGGTTGTTGTAGTACCCATACTTAAGCACATTTTTTATGTATTTGTAGGCTACCTGTACTCATGAGAATGTACTTGTATTTGCAAGAAAACTTAAAAATTGTACTCGTGCAAGGTACTCTTGCCCATGAAAATATTTTCCTGTTTGAAAATTAAATCATTTTAGAGGTATATGACGAACTAAACCCGGTCAATTACGGACTTGATTTCAAGTCTAAGAAAAATAGAGTTGTCACACCTCCCTTTCTCACTAAAAATTATGGCCCGCTGGTACTCGGCCTGCTGGTACTCGGCCTACCTTCTGATTGGCTGCAACCTGTGCCCTAAGGTCTGACAGGTTGTCATGGAGATTCCTGGTACCGCTGCTCCCTGGTATCTTGCCTGGTGCCATAAGGGCTTCTATCAAAGCTGTGCGGAAGGATAGCAAAGGACAACGCAATGCTTAAGTTCAGAGGTTTTGAGGGGTGGGGGGGGGGGGGGGGGTTAGCCACTTCAACCAACCCCTTCGATCTCTCAGTGCCTTGTTTCTGAAACTAATTATAAACAGAGTCAAGGACTCAAACTTGACACTCAGGATCTGGACTTTGAACACTCCAAATCTTTGCTCGAAGAGACATACCTTCTTCCTGAAAGATGCCATCCTTGACCAGCTTAAATGTCTCAAAGACAGCCCCTTCCTCATTGAGGTGCTTGGAGTTGGGCGGCATGGAGCCCGGCACCGTCCCGCCAATGTCAGCATGGTGCCCGCGACTTGCCACATAGAAAACTGGCTTAGGGGAGCCAGGGTAGAAGACCTATGGATGACAAATTCAACTACACATTATTGAATTTATGAAATACAAACTCTTGTTTGAGGTAGGCATTTTGACCACAAAAAAAAAAAAAAAAATTCCCTTTTTTTGTTTTGCCGAAACACGGCTCCCACACACGAGGATGAACGACTGTTCCGAGCTCTAGTCAGGCATGCAACTGGGAATTTAGAAAAAAAGAGGAAATTCCTAACCACACAAGACTTTGTACAGTGTTTTTCAATTTGTAATGGCATTCATGAGAAGTACAAAAACGAGGAAATCAGCAGATCCGAGGAAAAATTGCATGACTATCTAGTACAAAATGCACTGAACAGACTTGCCTTAATTGGTTGGACGCATGATAACGGGCCTTAATACCCGTTAATATGTTAAACGTGAGTTCTCCAGGTGTGCCATTTTGTCCGTGTTTTGCATGACATCTAAAACGGAAAAGCTCAACGCAAAACCACTCCTTATGTAATGTTCCAAACTTGTTAAAAATAAATATTTCAGGATATAACAGATGGCATTGCGCAGTTTTTGTCGTCATAGATGAATATGACACCTTTTTTGAGAACACCCTTTACTCAAATCTTGTTCTTAATTAGGCTTTCATCAAAAAGTTTTAGAGAGGCGTGGTCCCGAACCGATAAAACAAATGCGACATTTCATAGTTCATTTTAAAGCTAAAGATATTGTGCTTGGCGTTAACATTGTTATGTACTGGTAGTTATCACTTATGAGAATTCAATAATCAAGGCCAAAAACTTAGGAACATGAATATTCAAAATTATAATTAGCTGGCTGGACAGACTTCGACATCAGATCGGGCGCAGAGCCCTGCAAATTTGACAGCCGTCGCGGGAGGTGAAGCGGTTGAGCTGTCTGGGTCTTTGTTGACAAGTATTCATGGTAATTATTTATTTTATTTTAATTTCATTTCTTTCTGGTAATGAAACCAAGGATCCCTCAAAAGTGCCCTAGGCACTGTAGCTCGCAAGCCTGACGAAACCTGTAGAGAGAAGACAATGAGAAGAAATTACAGTTTTAGAGGTGGGAAGGAAAAGCCCAGAGGAATATTCTGAGGTAAACCCACGGAATCAGGCAGGGACTGAAAACCCAATCCACATATTGGTCCAGGCGGGATTCGAACCCGGGTCACAGCGGTGGAAGGCGAGGAAAGTACCGCTACGCCAACCTGTACGGGCCGTTATCATGTGTCTAACCAGGAGTTTGACTGAGTCGTTAATCCTTGTGTGGCAGAAACAACCAGACTAAACTACTTACTGGAGTGATGACAGTCAGATCGGGGAGATGGCTCCCTCCTGCACACGGATGATTGGTCAGTATCATGTCACCTTCTCTCAAATCGTCACCCCAGAATGCCATCTGAAATAATCCGAGGAAAAATGGAATGTAAAAGACAGTTCCACCATGTCCCAACTGGATGTGTAATGAAATACAGATGGTTTTCCCTTTGTGTACTTTTTTTTTACAGGCGTGCAACTGGGAATTTAGAAAAAAAGTAGGAAACTCCAAACCACACAAGATTTTGTATAGTATTTTTCAATTTGAAATGGCATCCATGAGAAGTAAAAAACGAGGAAATCAGCAGATCCGAGGAAAAGTTGCATGAAAGTTTATAACGTCAATTAGGTATGACAGAAATACTCTGAGAAGACTGGTTTTAGGCCGATAGTCAAATGTACAGAGAAACACAGTTTGTTTGTGATTGTCCAACGGTACACAATGGCATTAATGCATGCACAGATTTCGTACATAGTAATTCCAATCTACACAAGCTTTCCGTGAAAAATACAACTACCTATCTCAACAGATGTGAGGAACATGTTGCCAACAACTTGCGAGATCCTGCTGTTCTCAGAGTGGGATAGTGGTGGAATAAAGCACCACTCGTGCGTAAGTTATGCCTCTGACAAAAATGGTGCACAGCAGGAAATATTAAAATTCCACACCAGAAAAAAACTCTCAGGGACGGCTCAGGGGGCCTCACATAGGTGAAAACATGCAACGTTTCATTCTTCGAATGCCCCCACCCAAGGACGAGCTCAACCCCGCTTGGGCCCTGGGGTGAAACACTTACCCAGGGCAAAAATAGCAGTGTGAAATGCCCCCCCCCCTCTCACTGAAACATACTTTAGAGTCTACTAAAATCCACCTAGTATTTTAAGCCCATGTGACTTGGGGTAGGCTGGCACTTTCCTCACCTGATACTGGACTGTCTCTTGCATTGCACCAAGGTGGACAGGAATGTGAGGGGCGTTGGCTACCAGACCACCATCATACCCAAACATGGCACAGGAAAAGTCTAGCCTCTCCTTCAAGAGGGGAAAAAAAGTGAAGAATAATTTCATTTGTGGAATAAAACAATTTCAGAGAACTTGTAAATGTACCAGATAATTTCAGTGAAAGCTCATTTCTCCAAACTTGTGTGTGTGTATGTGTTCATCTTTTCAAACCGTGGACAAAAAATACCAGAGAACAATATCGTCCACGATTCCCAGCATACATCCGCGATTGGGGTCGTGCACAAAACATATGGAAGTCTTCCTAAAAAGTTACGAGTACAAACAAAAGAGGGACAATAAGATGTCCACGATCGACGGTGAACACACGTTTGTATGTGACATGTGTTTTTTTTGTAGGATAGTATCTCTTTCTTGAGCTTAAACCTTAAGCCCAAATAAAGTTGTGCAGTCTCACTGCAAATTTTTATTTCGTAATTTTGAAAGCTTCTGACTACTTACATTTTAAAGACTGCAACCACAAAAGTAGTGCTTCCTAACCATCCAGAAGTGTTCTATGACTATCCAAAATGTTGCGATTGCAGTCAATTTCTTGCTGGACAGTAAACAGTTATGATATTTTGGGGTGAGGTCAGAGTGGGGGTGGGAGTGGGCGTGGGGAGGGGTCAGGGGTGGGGGTGGGGATGGGGGAGGAGTAATGCATACTTTGATGTTGGTTGATATGGCTGTCCTTTGCAGGATACGACCCATCTGCTCTGCTGTGCTCATGAAACGGTGGGAGAATATCGACAGTTGAATGGTGTCCAGCTCGGTGCCTATGTGCTTCACTATGCCACTGCCAACCTGATATAATGTGAAAGATAATATACAAAGTTCAAATTTACTCGAAAAGGCCTTTGAAAATCATTGAATATACACAGATGCTGCCAAACGTAGTAATCAGCAATTCCATCATTATTACAATTCAGGAAAGGAACCAAAGTCCTGTTTACTAAATCGGAGACAAAAAGTCTGCCGCTGCCCACCACTGTTCCTTGAGACCCCGCCCCTTCCTTTTCCCACTTCATTGCCCTACCAATTTCATTCCCCGACAACGTCCGTTTGTAACATCACTAGAAACTTACGATTAATCTCAACAAAGTGGCACCCATGTCAAAGTACACAACTTAAACTCATTGCCCCTAAAACTATCACTGACAATGTCACTGTGTTTTGATAAAATATGGTAATGAAAATTATCAAGGACGATGTGGAAATGAGCAAACTTGCATAGAATTGCTTGAACATTCCATTAAAACAATTAATATGTTATTAGATTTTATATCCAGAGGTTGATCTTGCATGCCTCGATCAGCAGGATGCAAAAGTAGGGCTACCCACTTTTCTTTAAAAAAAAAACCACTTTGATTATTCTTGATCCAGGAGAAATTAAACAGTGATTAAAGATCGGAAGAATTTCTCTTTACTCAAGTCATCAAAGAAGGCAGCATAGCAGCTCTCTAAGTGACAGCCAGATATGCAGGTTATTGCCAATTTTCTCTCACTCATTATTTTCTAATTTGAGCTTTCATCCAATCCAATTCATCCGATTCTGAGTCAAAAGATGCTGACTTCAGCGCAGGATATCACTCTGAGCGTTGTTTGCATACAGGGAGCATGCTACATGATCAGCAAAGCATTTCCTACAAGTGAGAATTTATTGCTGGATACACAGACTGTTTTACAACAGAAAGGGCTACTTTTATTAGCAGTCATTGTGGAAATCTCCTTGATAAAAGACCAAGAAAAGTACTGACGAGAATATGCTTAGATAATGCTCTGGAACACAGGTTCTTATGCCAAAAAAATCCATCATTATTGTACATTGTATGTTCATCAAGTGTTGATTTAGGGCCATGTGCATATTTTGGTCCAAAGAATCCTTCAACTGGTTTGGCCAGCTATAATCTGTGAACATTGTATCAACACTATTTAACGATCAAATATGCCGGACACAACTTTTTCAGCAACACCATTTCCCAAAATGTCAGCCATGAATTCAACCCAGCAACTCCTTGACAACATGGAGCCAGCTACCGGTATAGGCAAGTGGGTTTGCCATTTGTTGATTGCGGAAGGAGTCATTGGTGTCTTGGGAAACCTCTTAGTGTGCTTCGTCATTCTACGTGTCAAATTCCTACACACTATGACAAACTACCTGCTGGTGAATTTGGCTGTGGCTGATATGCTGGTGTGTCTAGAGTGTATTTTTTATGGTCTAATATATTATGAAAACTGTAAAATAATTGACTATGTGCCCAAAACCTTAGGTGGAAAGGTTGTTTTCTGCCGCTTCCTGCAATCTAACTTTTTGGGATGGGCTTTGTCCTATGCATCTGCTTACAATCTCTGCGTGGTAACATTCGAGAGATATGTTGCTTTAGTGCATCCACTACAGTATGCACGGAAACTCACAGCAACACGGATGAAAACTCTGATTGCTCTGATCTGGGTGACATCATTTCTATTTTCGTTACCATTTTTATTTATATCGAAACCCAGCAATGATCCAGACCTGGCTTGCTCAGAAATTGAACACCAAGACAATACATTTCACATACTGCTTGGAGTATTTGCATTTTTCTCAGTATACTTGCTGCCATTAACATTGATGAGTTGGGCCTACTACAAGATACACGTCACTCTCAAACGACAAGCAAAAGCCCTGAACCTGCAACATGCAAGGGCAGCAGCCTATGATCTTGTGATTGCCAGACAGCGTCTTGTCAGCATGCTTACGATGGTCTTAGGAGCTCTGATCATCCTATGGACACCAATTAACACAAATTTTCTTGTCTGCATAAATCCAACATTTTCTTTTTGTGGTTCAAAAGGCTTCAAGTACTTCACAGCAGTTACTGATATTATGTTTTTTTTTAATTCAGTCATTAATCCCATCATCTACGAGTTTAAATACAAGAAATTCCAACAAGGACTCAAGCGAACTTTTTGTTTCTGTCACAAAAGCCACGGAGCTAACACAGTTGACATTGCGATGGTTCACCTATGAATACAGTTAGCATTGGTTGTATTCTGCAAGTTCACCATTTCTAAGCTATATAGGATAGTACAGTGTAGCATAGTAATGTACCAATCAGCCAGCACTGATTTCTTAACCGTAACCGCCCTGAATCCTTCAAAATTCTCTTTGTCAAAGTGGAGGAATTTGGAGGATTGAGGTTACATGGCAAAAGTGTGTTACTGTTTTCGTAGGATGCACTTTGTCAAGGTCTTGGGCCGGACCTAGTGTTGTTTTTGCTCAGCCATGCATAAATATAGGCCTGGATTATGCTTGAAATCCTCCATACTGCTCCGGGATGTCCCTGGCAAAGCCTCAACATAATGACAGTCACTGTCGCAGGATTTTGCAGGATTCAGGCAGTGATCAACCCTCCACGGACCATATTCAAGAAATAATGGAGGATTTGCAGGATTAAGGATGCTATTTTTCCATGAGGCTAATTGGAGGATTTTGCAGGATTGAGGCTACATCCTTGCAAAAAGGCCTAGGGAGTTAATTAGTGTTGAAGTAAATGTTGCTGCTTGTGTTCAACATACAAAATTGTTATTAAAACTCCAACTTTTTATCATCATCGTCTCAGAAAACTAGATGAGAAACTGGTTTATGTCAAGGAACCTCTATGAAAAAAAGAACACCTAAAGTAACATCTTTTGTCTAGTAGTTGCATTCAAGCACATACTGAATCTGGTTAGGGCCTATATTATTTTAATTGTGCGAGGCGATGTCTAGCATTATTGATTTGTTTGTGTTAGCAGATGTAAATTTTAACATTTGGATTTGCCCTTCACAGAAATAATTTTATAAGCACTGTATGCTTTCTCTGTGTTGTTCAAAAGCTTGTAAGTAAGAACATTCACAAGCTCGCTTGATCGGGTGGGACTCACACCCACAACCGCCTGCTACAGTTGTAACCCATGCAGACATCATCAGCTTTCTAGGTTTGAATGGCAGATTTGTTTCAGATATAAAGCAGAAGGTACTGCAATTAAAATGGTATTAGATTTTATATCCAGAAGTAGATCTTGCCTCGATGGTCAGGTTGCTAAGAAAGGCTATGCTATTTCCTTAAAAAACAACCCATTTCGATTCTTCTTGATCCAGGAGAAATTAAACAGTGACTAAATATCGGAAGAATACAGTCTACTCTCATTACTACAACACTGTGAAGACAAATTTTGGTAAGAGCAAACAAAAGGCAAAATGTGCTTTATGTGCACAATGAATGAGACCGGCCGGCACTCTACTTAATTCAAAATTCTGATAAAACAAACATTTTGGCTAGGTCCAGCAGAGTTTGTATTAACAAAGCCGACTGCATCTCTTTTGTCAAGTCACCAACGGCAGTAATTTGCAGCTCTAGTCTATACGTGACAGCAAGATATAAACGCACATTATCGCCATGTTTTTCTCTCACTCACTGTTTTCTAATTTAAGCTTTTAGCTTTATTAAATCCAAGTCATGCGATTCTGAGTCAAAAGATGCTGACTTCAGTGCAGGATATCACTCTGAGCGTCGTTTGCATACAATGTACAGTGAGCATAGTCATGATCAGCAAAGCTTTTCCTCAAGGCAAATATTTATTGTTGGACACACGGACTGTTTTGTAACAGATAGGGCTTCATTTATTGCCAGTCATTGTGGAAATCTTGTTGAATGAAGACCACAAAAAGCACTGATGAGAGTGTGCTTGGATGTTGCTCTGGATCATAGGTCTTTATGCCAAAAAACTCCATCATTATATTGTACATTGTATGTTCATCAAGTGTCGATTTAGGGCCATTACATGTGCATATTTTGGTCCAAAGAATCCTTCAATTGTTTTGGCCAGCTATAATCTGTGAACATTGTATCAACAGTATTTAACGATCAAATATGCCAGACACAACTTTTTCACCAACATCATTCCCCAAAATGTCAGCCATGAATTCAACCCAGCAACTCTCTGACAACACGGAGCCAACTATTGGTATAGGCAAGTGGGTTTGCCATTTGTTGATTGTAGAAGGAGTCATTGGTGTCTTGGGAAACCTCTTAGTGTGCTTCGTCATTCTACGTGTTAAATTCCTACACACTATGACAAACTACCTGCTGGTGAATTTGGCTGTGGCTGATATGCTGGTGTGTCTGGAGTGTATTTTTTATGGTCTAATATATTATGAAGACTGTAAAATAATTGACTATGTGCCCAAAACATTTGGTGGAAAGGTTGTTTTCTGCCGCTTCCTGCAATCTAACTTTTTGGGATGGGCTTTGTCCTATGCATCTGCTTACAATCTCTGCGTGGTAACATTCGAGAGATATGTTGCTTTAGTGCATCCACTACAGTATGCACGGAAACTCACAGCAACACGGATGAAAACTCTGATTGCTCTGATCTGGGTGACATCATTTCTATTTTCGTTACCATTTTTATTTATATCGAAACCCAGCAATGATCCAGACCTGGCTTGCTCAGAAATTGAATACCAAGACAATACATTTCACATTCTGCTTGGAGTATTTGCATTTTTCTCAGTATACTTGCTGCCATTAACATTGATGAGTTGGGCCTACTACAAGATACACGTCACTCTCAAACGACAAGCAAAAGCCCTGAACCTGCAACATGCAAGGGCAGCAGCCTATGATCTTGTGATTGCTAGACAGCGTCTTGTCAGCATGCTTACGATGGTCTTAGGAGCTCTGATCATCCTATGGACACCAATTAACACAAATTTTCTTGTCTGCATAAATCCAACATTTTCTTTTTGTGGTTCAAAAGGCTTCAAGTACTTCACAGCAGTTACTGATATTATGTTTTTTTTAAATTCAGTCATTAATCCCATCATCTACGAGTTTAAATACAAGAAATTCCGACAAGGACTCAAGCGAACTTTTTGTTTCTGTCACAAAAGCCATGGAGCTAACACAGTTGACATTGCGATGGTTCACCTATGAATACAGTTAGCATTGGTTGTATTCTGCAACTTCACCATTTCTAAGCTATATAGGATAGTACAGTGTAGCATAGTAATGTACCAATCAGCCAGCACTGATTTCTTAACCCTAACCGCCCTGAATCCTTCAAAATTCTCTTTGCCAAAGTGGAGGAATTTGGAGGATTGAGGTTACATGGCAAAAGTGCGTTACTGTTTTCGTAGGCTGCACTTTGTCAAGGTCTTGGGCTGGACCTTGTGTTGTTTTTGCTCAGCCATGCATACCTATAGGCCTGGATTATGCTTGAAATCCTCCATACTGCTCCGGCATGTCACTGGCAAAGCCTCAACATAATAACAGTCACTGTCGCAGGATTTTGAAGGATTCAGGCAGTGATCAAACCTCCACGGACCATATTCAACAAATAATGGAGGATTGGCAGGATTAAGGATGCTATTTTTCCATGAGGCCAATTGGAGGATTTTGCAGGATTGAGGCTACATCCTTGCAAAAAGACCTAGGGAGTTAATTAGTGTTAAAGTAAATGTTGCTGCTTGTGCTCAACATACAAAATTGTTATTAAAACTCCAACTTTTTATCATCATCGTCTCAGAAAACTAGATGAGAAACTGGTTTATGTCAAGGAACCTCTATGAAAAAAGAACACCTCAAGTAACATCTTTTGTCTAGTAGTTGCATTCAAGCACACACTGAATCTGGTTAGGGGCTATATTATTTTAATTGTGCGAGGCGATGTCTAGCATTATTGATTTGTTTGTGTTAGCAGATGTAAATTTTATCATTTGGATTTGCCCTTCACCAGTTCACAAAATTAATTTTATAAGCACTGTATGTTTTCTCTGTGTTGTTCAAAAGCTTGTAAGTAAGAACATTCACAAGCTCGCTTGATCGGGTGGGACTCGCACCCACAACCACCTGCTACAGTTGTAACCCATGCTGATATCATCAGCTTTCTAGATTTGACTGGCAGATTTGTTTCTGATATGAAGCAGAAGGTACTGCAATTAATATGGTATTAGATTTTATATCCAGAAGTAGATCTTGCCTCGATGGACAGATTGCTAAGAAAGGTTATGCTATTTCCTTAAAAAAAAAACACTTTGATTCTTCTTGATCCAGGAGAAATTAAACAGTGATTATAGATCGGAAGAATATCTCTTTACTCAAGTCATCAAAGAAGGCAGCATGGCAGATCCCTAAGTGACAGCCAGATATGCAGGTTATTGCCAATTTCCTCTCACTCATTATTTTCTAATTTGAGCTTTCATCCAATCAAATTCATCCGATTCTGAGTCAAAAGATGCTGACTTCAGCGCAGGATATCACTCTGAGCGTTGTTTGCATACAGGGAGCATGCTACATGATCAGCGAAGCGTTTCCTACAAGTGAGAATTTATTGCTGAATTCACAGACTGTTTTACAAGAGAAAGGGCTACTTTTATTAGCAGTCATTGTGGGAATCTCCTTGATAAAAGACCAAGAAAAGTACTGACGAGAATATGCTTAGATAATGCTCTGGAACACAGGTTTTTATGCCAAAAAAATCCATCATTATTGTACATTGTATGTTCATCAAGTGTCAATTTAGGGCCATGTGCATATTTTGGTCCAAAGAATCCTTCAACTGTTTTGGCCAGCTATAATCTGTGAACATTGTATCAACAGTATTTAACGATCGAATATGTCGGACACAACTTTTTCAGCAACACCATTCCCCAAAGTGTCAGCCATGAATTCAACCCAGCAATTCCTTGACAACATGGAGCCAACTACAGGTATAGGCAAGTGGGTTTGCCATTTGTTGATTGAAGAAGGAGTCATTGGTGTCTTGGGAAACCTCTTAGTGTGCTTCGTCATTCTACGTGTCAAATTCCTACACACTATGACAAACTACCTGCTGGTGAATTTGGCTGTGGCTGATATGCTGGTGTGTCTAGAGTGTATTTTTTATGGTCTAATATATTATGAAAACTGTAAAATAATTGACTATGTGCCCAAAACCTTTGGTGGAAAGGTTGTTTTCTGCTGCTTCCTGCAATCTAACTTTTTGGGATGGGCTTTGTCCTATGCATCTGCTTACAATCTCTGCGTGGTAACTTTCGAGAGATATGTTGCTTTAGTGCATCCACTACAGTATGCACGGAAACTCACAGCAACACGGATGAAAACTCTGATTGCTCTGATCTGGGTGACATCATTTCTATTTTCGTTACCATTTTTATTTACATTGAAACCCAGCAATGATCCAGACCTGGCTTGCTCAGAAATTGAATACCAAGACAATACATTTCACATTCTGCTTGGAGTATTTGCATTTTTTCTCAGTATACTTGCTGCCATTAACATTGATGAGTTGGGCCTACTACAAGATACACGTCACTCTCAAACGACAAGCAAAAGCCCTGAACCTGCAACATGCAAGGGCAGCAGCCTATGATCTTGTGATTGCCAGACAGCGTCTTGTCAGAATGCTTACGATGGTCTTAGGAGCTCTGATCATCCTATGGACACCAATTAACACAAATTTTCTTCTCTGCATAAATCCAACATTTTCTTTTTGTGGTTCAAAAGGCTTCAAGTACTTCGAAGCAATTACTTGTATTATGTTATATTTTAATTCAGTCATTAATCCCATCATCTATGAGTTGAAATACAAGAAATTCCGACAAGGACTCAAGCTAACTTTTTGTTGCTGTCACAAAAGCCACGGCGCTAACACAGTTGACATTGCGATGGTTCCCCTATGAATACAGTTAGCATTGGTTATATTCTGCAAGTTCACCATTTCTAAGCTATATAGGATAGTACAGTGTAGCATAGTAATGTACCAATCAGCCAGCACTGATTTCTTAACCCTAACCGCTCTGAATCCTTCAAAATTCTCTTTGCCAAAGTGGAGGAATTTGGAGGATTGCGGTTACATGGCAAAAGTGCGTTACTGATTTCGTAGGATGCACTTTGTCAAGGTCTTGGGCTGGACCTTGTGTTGTTTTTGCTCAGCCATGCATAACTATAGGCCTGGATTATGCTTGAAATCCTCCATACTACTCCGGAATGTCACTTGCCAAGCCTCAACAAAGACAGGCACTGTCGAAGGATTTTGCAGGATTCAGGCAGTGATCAACCCTCCACGGACCATATTCAAGAAATAATGGAGGATTTCCAGGATTAAGGATGCTATTTTTCCATGAGGCCAATTGGAGGATTTTGCAGGATTGAGGCTACATCCTAGCAAAAAGACCTAGGGTTAAAGTAAATGTTGCTGCTTGTGTTCAACATACAAAATTGTTATTAAAACTCCAACTTTTTATCATCATCTTCTCAGAAAACTAGATGAGAAACTGGTTTATGTCTAGGGACCTCAATGAAAAAAAGAATACCTAAAGTAACATCTTTCGTCTAGTAGTTGCATTCAAGCACACACTGAATCTGGTTAGGGCCTATATTATTTTAATTGTGTGAGGCAATGTCTAGCATTATTGATTTGTTTGTGTTGGCAGATGTAAATTTTAACATTTGGATTTGCCCTTCACAAAATTAATTTGATAAGCACTGTATGTTTTCTCTGTGTTGTTCAAAAGCTTGTAAATAAGAACATTCACAAGCTCGCTTGATCGGGTGGGACTCGCACCCACAACCGCCTGCTACAGTTGTAACCCATGCAGACATCATCAGCTTTCTAGGTTTGAATGGCAGATTTGTTTCTGATATGAAGCAGAAGGTACTGCAATTAAAATGGTATTAGATTTGATATCCAGAAGTAGATCTTGCCTTGATGGTCAGGTTGCTAAGTAAGGCTATGCTATTTCATTAAAAAAAAAAACCATTTCGATTCTTCTTGATCCAGGAGAAATTAAACAGTGACTAAATATCGGAAGAATACAGTCTACTCTCATGACTACAACAATGTGAAGACACATTTTGGTAAGAGCAAACAAAAGGCAACACGTGCTTTATGTGCACAATAAATGAGAGCGGCACTCTTCTTAATTCAAAATTCTGATAAAACAAACATTTGGGCTAGGTCCGGCAGAGTTTGTATTAACAGAGTCGACTGCATCTCTTTTGTCAAGTCACCAACGGCAGTAATTTGCAGCTCTAGTCTATACGTGACAGCAAGATATAAACGCACATTATCGCCATTTTTTTCTCTCACTCACTGTTTTCTAATTCAAGCTTTTAGTTTTATAAAATCCAAGTCATGCGATTCTGAGTCAAAAGATGCTGACTTCAGTGCAGGATATCACTCTGAGCGTCGTTTGCATACAGTGAGCATAGTCATGATCAGCAAAGCTTTTCCTAAAGGCAAACATTTATTGTTGGACACACGGACTATTTTGTAACAGATAGGGCTTCATTTATTGCCAGTCATTGTGGAAATCTTGTTGATTGAAGACCAGAAAAAGCACTGATGAGAGTGTGCTTGGATGTTGCTCTGGATCACAGGTTTTTATGCCAAAAAACTCCATCATTATATTGTACATTGTATGTTCATCAAGTGTCGATTTAGGGCCATTACATGTGCATATTTTGGTCCAAAGAATCCTTCAATTGTTTTGGCCAGCTATAATCTGTGAACATTGTATCAACACTATTTAACAATCAAATATGCCGGACACAACTTTTTCAGCAACATCATTCCCCAAAATGTCAGCCATGAATTCAACCCAGCAACTCTCTGACAACACGGAGCCAACTATTGGTATAGGCAAGTGGGTTTGCCATTTGTTGATTGTAGAAGGAGTCATTGGTGTCTTGGGAAACCTCTTAGTGTGCTTCGTCATTCTACGTGTTAAATTCCTACACACTATGACAAACTACCTGCTGGTGAATTTGGCTGTGGCTGATATGCTGGTGTGTCTGGAGTGTATTTTTTATGGTCTAATATATTATGAAGACTGTAAAATAATTGACTATGTGCCCAAAACATTTGGTGGAAAGGTTGTTTTCTGCCGCTTCCTGCAATCTAACTTTTTGGGATGGGCTTTGTCGTATGCATCTGCTTACAATCTCTGCGTGGTAACATTCGAGAGATATGTTGCTTTAGTGCATCCACTACAGTATGCAAGGAAACTCACAGCAACACGGATGAAAATTCTGATTGCTCTGATCTGGGTGACATCATTTCTATTTTCGTTACCATTTTTATTTATATTGAAACCCAGCAATGATCCAGACCTGGCTTGCTCAGAAACTGAATACCAAGACGATACATTGCTGATTTTGCTTCAAATTTATACAGTTTTCTCATCATACTTGCTACCACTTACATTGATGAGTTGGGCCTACTACAAGATACACGTCACTCTCAAAAGACAAGCAAAAGCCCTGAACCTGCAACATGCAAGGGCAGCAGCCTATGATCTTGTGATTGCTAGACAGCGTCTGGTTAGCATGCTTATGATGGTCTTAGGAGCTCTGATCATCCTATGGACACCAGTTGGCATAAGTTTTCTTCTCTGCACGAATCCAACTTTTTCTTTTTGTGGTTCAAAAGGCTTCAAGTACTTCACAGCAATTACTGATATTATGTTATATTTCAATTCGGTCATTAATCCCATCATCTATGAGTTGAAATACAAAAAATTCCAACAAGGACTCAAGCAAACTTTTTGTCGCTGTCGCAAAAGCCATGGAGCTAACGCAGTTGATGTTGCGATGGTTCCCCTATGAATACAGTCAGCATTGGTTATATTCTGCAAGTTCACCATTTCTAAGCTATCGAGTGGCTCAGCGTGGAATGGGAGGAATATTATCGCAAGGTAAAATCTGGATTTTTCCATTTCACGAGGCGAAGCCGAGTGAACTGGTTGCAAAGAAAGTTTATGCTATTTCCTTAAAAAAACCATTTCGATTCTTCTTGATCCAGGAGAAATTAAACAGTGATTATAGATCGGAAGAATATCTCTTTACTCAAGTCATCAAAGAAGGCAGCATGGCAGATCCCTAAGTGACAGCCAGATATGCAGGTTATTGCCAATTTTCTCTCACTCATTATTTTCTAATTTGAGCTTTCATCCAATCCAATTCATCCGATTCTGAGTCAAAAGATGCTGACTTCAGTGCAGGATATCACTCTGAGCGTTGTTTGCATACAGTGAGCATGCTACATGATCAGCAAACGTTTTCCTACAAGTGAGAATTTATTGCTGGATACACAGACTGTTTTACAACAGAAAGGGCTACTTTTATTAGCAGTCACTGTGGGAATCTCCTTGATAAAAGACCAAGAAAAGTACTGACGAGAATATGCTTAGATAATGCTCTGGAACACAGGTTTTTATGCCAAAAAAATACATCATTATTGTACATTGTATGTTCATCAAGTGTCGATTTAGGGCCATGTGCATATTTTGGTCCAAAGAATCCTTCAACTGTTTTGGCCAGCTATAATCTGTGAACATTGTATCAACAGTATTTAACGATCGAATATGTCGGACACAACTTTTTCAGCAACACCATTCCCCAAAGTGTCAGCCATGAATTCAACCCAGCAACTCCTTGACAACATGGAGCCAGCTACCGGTATAGGCAAGTGGGTTTGCCATTTGTTGATTGCGGAAGGAGTCATTGGTGTCTTGGGAAACCTCTTAGTGTGCTTCGTCATTCTACGTGTTAAATTCCTACACACTATGACAAACTACCTGCTGGTGAATTTGGCTGTGGCTGATATGCTGTCGTGTCTAGAGTGTATTCTTAGTGGTCTAATATATTATGAAGACTGTAAAATAATTGACTATGTGCCCAAAACCTTTGGTGGAAAGGTTGTTTTCTGCCGCTTCCTGCAATCTTACTTTTTGGGATGGGCTTTGACGAATGCATCTGCTTACAATCTCTGCGTGGTAACATTCGAGAGATACGTTGCTTTAGTGCATCCACTACAGTATGCAAGGAAACTCACAGCAACACGGATGAAAATTCTGATTGCCCTGATCTGGGTGACATCATTTCTATTTCTGTTACCATTTTTATTTACATTGAAACCCAGCAATGATCCAGACCTGGCTTGCTCAGAAACTGAACACCAAGATGATACATTGCTGATTTTGCTTCAAATTTATACATTTTTCTCATCATACTTGCTACCACTAACGTTGATGAGTTTGGCCTACTACAAGATACATGTCACTCTCAAAAGACAAGCAAAAGCCCTGAACCTGCAACATGCAAGGGCAGCAGCCTATGATCTTGTGATTGCCAGACAGCGTCTTGTCAGCATGCTTATGATCGTCTTAGGAGCTCTGATCATCCTATGGACACCAGTTGGCACAAGTTTTCTTCTCTGCATGAATCCAACATTTTCTTTTTGTGGTTCAAAAGGCTTCAAGTACTTCAGAGCAATTACTGAAATTATGTTATATTTCAATTCAGTCATTAATCCCATCATCTATGAGTTGAAATACAAGAAATTCCGACAAGGACTCAAGCTAACTTTTTGTTGCTGTCACAAAAGCCATGGAGCTAACGCAGTTGACGTTGCGATGGTTCCACTATGAATACAGTCAGCATTGGTTATATTCTGCAAGTTCACCATTTCTAAGCTAAATAGGATAGTATACAAATATTGAGTGGCTCAGCGTGGAATGGGAGGAATATTATCACAAGGTAAAATCTGGATTTTTCCATTTCACGAGGCGAAGCCGAGTGAACTGGTTGCAAAGAAAGTTTATGCTATTTCCTTAAAAAAAAAACCACTTTGATTCTTCTTGATCCAGGAGAAATTAAACAGTGATTATAGATCGGAAGAATATCTCTTTACTCAAGTCATCAAAGAAGGCAGCATGGCAGATCCCTATTAGTGACAGCCAGATAGGCAGGTTATTGCCTTTTTTTCCCACTGATTATTTTCTAATTTG